CGTCTCTTCGCGGCCAAGCGATAACCCGTGCGTCTGTTGAAGAGTGGCCTCCATTTTGCGCAGCAACCGCTGCGCCTGAGCTCGCCGATCTATGGGGGCAGGAATCATCGCCGATGGTGTGCCCTGTGCTCGCTGCCCTTGCGGCCCGATTCGTGTCCTCGGTCTCACTCGTCGCCCTCCTCCATCATCTCCATCTGCCGCCCGTGGTTTGGGTACGTAATCGGAGTCCCCTGCATCATCAGTGCCTGTGGTCTCTCCCGGGGCGACATCTGTGCTGTCGTCGTGGACGATAAGTACGCTGCCGCGTCTCTTCTGACCTGCCACTGCATTCCCTGTGCCCTCCCTGCCGACGATATCCGCCGTCGTTGCATCCCTCCCTCCAACATCCAATGCGTCGCCGTCAGGTGCAATCTCTCCGTCCTCGAGATGCACAACGCCTGATCCTCTCTCTCGGGAACGCATATGTGAGGATGAACGTGACGCCTTCCTTGCCGAGGCCTTCTTCCTTGCCCGAGAAAGACTCGCCTTTGCGGCTCTCGTAGCATGGACATCAGACGTCTTCGTCGGCAAAACACTCCCGTGTCGGTCCTCAAACTCGGCCATGGCGGTGTGCCGAGCACCATCCACACTCCCAATGGATCGTTTCCCCATAGACGGTGCAGATGGCCTGCCAACATTCGGGACTCCCTGCTCATCCATCCCCCCAGTACTCTTCCCGCTGGCATAAAATGCCACTGTCGGCAAAACAGTGGCTCTGTCGCGCCGTGCTGTCGCCGATGACCCAACCACAAGCTGTTCTGTCGCGTCTGCGCCACTGTTTGTGACGGGGACGCCCGCATCTGCGCAGACATCCGCGGCAATCGGATGATGCTCTAAGTTTGACGGCGGACTTGGGGGTCTTGCTTCTCTTTCGAGTGTGTCAACTGGCCCACCATGAGACCCTTCCTCTGCGCCGTCAAACGAATGAGAAAGACTGCGTTGTGCGATGCTGCACTGACCGTCGCGGCGGTGTCGCGTCGCCGTCTCCGCCAAACCAAGGGCCACCTCGCGTAGTTTGCCAACACGAAAAATTGTGGGCGTGGCAGACACCATTGGGCTCGTAATCATATCGGCGATATCGCCTCCTGCCATGTCAAACCCGTCCGATCCACGCTCGATGACAACGGGCTGTTGTGGCTTGGGCGATGACACATGGGGTAGACCTGGGGATATCAACGTCGACAAGTCCGGTAGAGAAACGAGCGCAGAGTCCATGGTCAGTAACTCGCCGGTACCCGGAAGACTGCCGGTGGGGCATGCGAGGCCGACATGGTCTGCGGCGCTCTGCTCGGCTGCAGGAGTGTGTGAGATATCACGTTCCGGGAGATCGTCGCCTTGACACACAACAACGGTCCCCTGACTCCCCTCCATCAATGCAGGCGGTGGCCGCGGTTGAACACTGCGAGGTGGGAGCATACTTTCTTGCTCCGCCACTGCCAGTGGTCGTCCCACATCCGAGGTCGCTGCAACTGAGACTGCCGCTCCGGCAGACGTGAGTGGATRCHSTGCAYSGACAGAACCCTCGTCCCGCACTGCCGGGAGAGGACTGATCTCTCCCTGAACCTCGGGATGACGCATCAACGGTGCTGGACCCTGTTGCGATTCTGGGACTGCTGCGGAAGGCCCCATCGGAGCTGTCGCGTGCATACTCGAAGTGTCACCTCG